TGCACTGCAGTGTCCTCTGTGAACAATTATAGGAAAACAGATTGTGTGTAGTTTCCGATAGATGTCACCGCAAACAGCAGCTGTGACATCTGATGGAACATGAATGCAGAAGCTTGACAAAATGATCAATTGTGCCACACTACCGTGTTGCATTAACATTAGGGTTGATGCATATATTATGTCACGCTCTTTCTAAGATTTTGTGACAAGCAATGCATTAGGTATAGGAAAAACGTCACGCAAGGGGGGCGTGGTAAATTTCTCCTCGATTTAGCGTGATATTTAGCATGGGCCCTTATCGGCTAACATCTCTATTCATAGGGTGACACATTTATACCCCACATCTCCCTTTTCCACTCGACAAAAAAAATTAAAAAAGGTTACCAACTTCCCTGTTTTCAGCGAGGGGGACGACTCTATCTACGATGCAGGAAAGATTGTGTTTTGCTGTGGCTAGCTGCTCGCACGCTGAGTAGATAGAAAGAAGATTGACGTCGATTTCCTGCAAAAAGATGATGCGCGATGCAAGTAGATGCGAGAAATGAAAGAAGATTTTTCGAAGATTGATTCGCTAGTGGGAGATTTGTTGAGCATCTAGACTTGATATTTAGATGTGTCGCCCCCCCTCGGTTTTCAGTTATTTTTTTATGAAAAACAAAAGTAGAGATTGATATGTTTTTATAATTTTTTGTTTTACGCAAACAAGAAAAGCACGTTTGTTCTGCAGGAAACGTAGACTTAGAACTTACTTAGAACTTAATTGGAGGAACTGGCCTTGTGCCTTATCGTGCTAATGAGGATCATCTCTGACAACACGAATGACCTAAAAAGTGTTTAAAGTTATTATAATGAACAATGCCAATAGCACGTTCCTTACTTTCACGAATCAATAGAATGCCCCTGTACTTTCGAGTTCCTGTACGTAGTTATCTAGGTAAGCTGGAGCACGCTTTTCTCTCGTTGAACGTCGCTGGGATTCTTCGATCGGACGGTTGTCGACAACGCAATCGGCCGGTCTTTGATCCATGTCTCGCCATTCGTGCACTTTTTTAATTTGACCCACATGTCGTTTAAGGATCCGGCCATGCTCGTCACTAAGTACAAGGTTCCCATTATCCTCCTCCATTACCGTGTACCGCTGTGGATCGAATCTTGTCTCCCCTTTTGCTCTACATTGACGCTCGACTATGACGGTGTCACCAGGCTTTACTCAGGACTTCCGTGCGCCTCTGCGTACATCCTCGCGGTCCTTAGCTTTGAGTTTAGCTTCGCGGTTTTTTGCATCTAGCAGATCGTCGTCGTGGTTCGCTTTCGTATGACGTAAAAGTGGTAGTCGGCACTTTATTTTGCGACCCAACATAACCTCCTCCCCCCGACTCCGGTTACTGCATGTGGAGCAGCATTGTGCGCACTAACAGCGGCCATCAATTCCTCTTCATAGGAAGCCTTATATAATTTTGAGTTTAGCTTCCCGGTTTTTTGCATCTAGCAGATCGTCGTCGTGGTTCGCTTTCGTATGACGTAAAAGTGGTAGTCGGCGCTTTATTTTGCGACCCAACATAACCTCCTCCGGGGGGACTCCGGTTACTGCATGTGCAGCAGCATTGTGCGCACTAACAGCGGCCACTAATTCCTCTTCATAGGAAGCCTTATTAGATACTGCTGTTGACATCGCCTTGTTGATCACTTTCATGCTGTCCTCCACCAACCCGGAATTGGCGTTGACGGCGACTCTGTAGCTCTTTACTCCTATGAGAAAATCCAAAAGCAAACGTCAGACTGTGCCCATAAGAAACTGTCTAAATATGCTGGTAGAGCAAATTTTTCGACGGTGCCGTCAACGCCAATAGTGGTGTAGAATAAACAGTCTGAAAACTACTTGAATTCGGCGCCATTTAACGGTGGCGCATTGTCAAATCGGATGCATCGTGGGAACTCTTCCCTCTCGAAGATTTCCTCTGGGATTCGTTTTGTACACTCAAAATACGTAGATTTTACTGAGCGTGCGATCAAGTATCGTGAACGATAATCGACGATGACTAGGATCAAGATGCTGCCGAATCTGATATAAGGGCCGTTAAAATCCATTGTGATGGTCTCCCAAAACACCTGAGGAGCAAATACCCGATGCATTGGGATGGGCTTTTCCGGCTTTTCGTAGCACAAACTTGGCAGGTCTTAACCTATGTTTCTGCGTCGCTTGTAATCCCCGGCCACCACACTCGCTGTCGCAGGATGCTCTTCAGCTTGGCCGTCAATGGATGGTCATCATGTGCTAGTTCGAGTGCCGTTTGTCGAAGATTTGAATCTCCTTAGTTCCTTCATCCATTTGCCAGTCTCCAAAGCGTTGGCCACCTTTTGGAGTTCCAAGTCCTGAGTAGTTGCTTCCCGGATGCCCTGTTCTGCAGCATTCGCTTCGAGAGTAGCTATTTCCCATGGGCTTTGTTGCTCATCAAAAGGATCGTCGTCTCCCACGTATAGGCGGGACGATGAGTCCGCGATATTGTCGCGCCCACGCACGTACTCCGTGTCATAGCTATAAGGACTAGGTCTAACAGCCCATCCATCAGCTCTGGTCAAAGCTCTTTTCGAGTTCTCGCGGGACCTATTCAAAATGAAATGAATCTGTCCGAAGAGTGAAGTGTCTACCGAGCAAGAAGAACGAGAAATTTTCGACTACCCAAACAGCTCTCAATGCTTCCCGCTGGTTTTGCGCGTACTTTTTCTCAGTAGATGTAAGAGCTTTCGACGCAAAGCTGATGATTCGTGGGTTACGATCTTCACTCTCTTGAACGAGGACTGCACCGAGGGCATTTGGGAAGGCATCGGTATACAATACCATTTTGTCGCTCTCGGAGAAGAAGCCTAGGGTGCTAGTACAATGAACGATTCGTCGAATCGACGAACGAACCAACCAAAGTGGGCTCGAGATGTCGGTGAAGTTTTTTTTTATATACGGACTAATATAGGAAGCTAATCCAAGGAAGCTCCGTAGCTCTGAAGTAGTGGTCAGATGCCTGAATTTGCGGATGCTTTTCACTTTGGCTCCATCTACGTGGAACCCATCTCCGTCTAATTCGTGGCCAAGGAATTTTAGACGGGTTCTATCTAGCTCACATTTATCCATGTTCAGTGTCAGGTTGTTACTTCGGATAATATGAAGAACCCGAGCAGTAGTGATTCGTAGTTCCTCTAAGCATTTGGCAAAAATGAGGATGTCGTCAATGTAGACAATCACATTCTCAATTTCTTCCAGCAGCCGACACATTTCTCGTTGGAAGATTTCGGGAGCAAAATTCACACCGAACATCAGCCTGTACATTCTGTACATTCCGCTCTCGGTCAAGAATGTTGTCAGATCCCGCGATTGCTTATGGAGCTTGAGATGATAGAAAGCATTACTCAAGTCCAACTTGGAGTAATATTTCGAACCGTGTAGCTTTAACTTCATATCATCTATCAGCGGAAGTCGGAAATACTCACGTTTTATCGCTTTATTTGGAGCACGCATGTCGACGACCAAGCGAAAGTCGTTTTTTCCTTTCGCCACAGCGGACATACCGCTTATCCAATTCAGGGCCATCTCGACTCTTTGTATTATTCCACGAGCTTCCATTTCCGCAATGCGGGATCTAGCAGCTTCCCGGTACGCAGCTGGTACGTTGAAATATGCATTTCTCTCACAAGGTACAGTCTCATCGATGCTGAACCTCACTTTAACCCCAGGAATCTTTGGGAAGGCTTCTATTGTACCCGAACTCTCACAGCTGTTGACCGCCGATCCTACTTCAAGCAGTATCATCTCACTTGCCGTTGATCTACCAAGTAATGATCTGCGACCCTGATCCACGACGACAAACTCTGCTGTTACGGTTGGCTTGGTTATTCCAACCGTCCCAACGGCCCCTGGGAATGTATTTGTGATCTTATCACAACCACGCTGCCAACGCGGAAACCCTAAAATTGGCATCAAACATGACCTCTTGACTTATTTTTTTGGTTCTCCTTTTTGAATTATTACCGAATGGAGAGAACTTAAAAAAAAACTATGATTTTTTTCCATCTCAGATCACCTTTATTTGCTGCTTAAAAGTTTAAACAGCAAACCTGGCAAGATCGCCAATGTGAAAATCCCGTTGCTCCGACGAGATCGCTCCCTCTTGAGGCTACTCACCGGCTGTGTAGACGTCCGTTCACGGCGACAAATGGAATGCGAAAGAGGACGAGTGGCACTGTCGATTGCGCTCGTCGTCTGACTCGGTTCAGCTTTCGTGTTTCCAACGATCGTTCGTAATTGTGCCACACTGCCGTGTTGCACGAACATTATCGGCTAACATCCCTATTCATAGGGTGACACATTTATACCCCACAAGGTGTTATGCCACAGAACATCCCGGCAGCGCAGACTGGGATTGAACCCAGGCCTTCTGGGGTGAGAGTTTCACCTGTATAAATTGCTATTTTTACTTTTGAATTTCTTCAATTTGAACCTCCCGCCACAGCAGAACTTAACAAGCATTTTCTGTACATCCAAATTTTCGCTAAAACTAATCAGCCATTTATTTCTGGCCGATTAACTTGATTCATGGCAATGAACAGCTCATGTAACACTAATTTCCTTCGGGTAGATAACCGACCCGACTGCCATTGAACTTACTCTATGGACCCAAACCCTATCAAATTACGACCAGCCAGTGCCGGCTCCCCATTAATTCGAAATAAAGTCATAAATTGCCGTGCGGAGATGATATGGAATCTGACACCCGTTTCCCCCTTTCGAAAGGACCCAAAAACTTCATTAATCAACTTCAGCATCCATATATGACAAGCCGGTGATATGATGGTACGAACATTCCTTTCCGCCACGGTCCAATATTCCATTAATCTCGAGCGTTCATAAATTTATCAGCGATCCGCAACAGGATACTTGCCTCTCCGCCGGCCGGATACACTGAATATCTGAAAAATAATTATTATTCTTCCTGTCTGTGTTGTTGCAGGTTCCAAGCGGTCGCCACCGGACGCCAGACCCAGCCGACGTCAATTTGAAGCACCGACCGCCGTCCATCCGCGCCGACGATCAGGACGTGCATTGTAGCCGGAGAAAGTTCCCCTCATGGGTCAGAACCGGACGCTCGGGCCGGAATTCGAACCAATGAAATTTAACGGCTTATCGCACTCGATGAGTGTCCCCGCGGTTCCCCATCACGTGATGATCAGAGAGAGACGGAAAAATCAGAGTGAAAATAAATAAATAAGTATTATAAGCGACAAGTGAATCGACCGAGGTGTGACCGGGCAGGGCGAAGTGAAAATTTTACTGAGCAAGACAAGCGTGCAAAAATTATTATCGATGCAGGATAATTAATTTGGCAGACTGCGGCGTACTTTTTTTTTATCTCGCTGATATTCCTGATTGTGAGCCTGCGGGAGTGTGACTGAGGGTGAGCGGAAGCATATAATAACAGCACAGTGTGTACACTGTGTGACCATCGTGGGGTTTTGTGTGTGCATTCAGTGAAGTGGTTCAATGACCGAAATCGACCCCACGGGATTCGTCGAGCATTATGTGTACAATGGCACAGATGTGGCTGATTGGAACATCACCACAACCCGATTCGTGTCGAACACCGGTGATGCCAAGTTGGACGTGACCTATGCCGTATTCGAGGGCCTGGTAGCTCTGATGGCCGTGGTCGGCAATGCAATGGTGATTGTAGTGTTCAAACGCGAACGACGCCTTCGCAGACGGACTAACTTCTACATCGTCTCGCTGGCCACGGCCGATTTTCTGGTTGGGCTCCTCGGAGTTCCGTTTGCAGTGCTATCTTCCGTAGGATTACCGCGAAATCTTCACGCATGCCTTTTCACCATCTCGTTACTGATCGTACTGTGTACGATATCGATCTTCTGCCTGGTGGCCGTATCCGTCGATCGGTACTGGGCCATCCTACATCCGATGGCGTACTCTCGGAACGTCCGCACTAAAACTGCAATAGGTAAGTAGTCCACCAGCATCAAGGTCATACAAATTGAAACATCCGAAAAATCACACCGTCATCCGCACGAGCCAAACAATAAAACAAAACACTTATGCGACTAAAGGGTGGAACGGTAACAAAATTAGTCAGTCCTGATTAAGTTTATGTTATTATATAAATCTCGATAACTTTTTCAAAGGGACGTATCAGCTTTTGAAAAAAATGCATCGATAAATGCGTTACGCCTAATCGACGATCAAATGCATTTTTTACAAAATCTGATACGTCTCTTTGAAAAAGTTATCGAGAAATAATCAAACTTTAGTTATTTTTGAAGTTCAATGACTACAAAATACAGGAAAATTACACTAGTTTACAGCATTTTTGAACTCGGTAAGGTGATGATCATTTCCAATGCAAAATCCTACGCTGAATTCAATGCCGTGGTCAGAAAAACTTAAAGTAGAGCCATTTTTGAGATATACAAAAAATTTGATTTTTTGAATTTTGGACAAAAGTACGATTGCTAAAATGTCAATATCTTTGGAACTAGTGCACCAATTTTAAATCTTTATTTATGAAAATGAAGCTAAATAAATTTGCTATTGTTCACTAGAATATTATGTCTTAATTTAATTTTGAAGTCATTTAAAAATTTACAGCATTTTTTTTTTATTTTTCCTGCGAATTTTCCATAAAAATCTTGTTTTAATCAACATTTTAAATGGGATAAAAACATTCAAAAAATTATTCCATAATTTATTCTTAAAGTCCATTTAAAACCGGAGAAAATGAGCCTTTAATGGATGAAATCGGTTGGAAATTGTCGAAGTTATGAGCATTTTTGTAAAACACTTAAAAATGTTGCTGAAATACAACAGCTTTAGAGTTCCTTTTCTAGGTGTCGTTGTAAGCATCCAAATCGCATGTAAAGTTTTCATGGGAGATTCTTTTCTCTACATATCAATTTGATTAAGGCATATCAGGATTTAAAACCGAGTTGATACAAAAGAAATTTATTTAGGTTTTATTAAAAATGATTGAGAATCGAATGACTTTGTCTTCGATGTTTTGAACTTGTTTCTCGAATCAGAAACCAACAATAGTCACCCATCATTGCTTCATCCCAAAACCCTTGGTAACGACGTTCCATCATCTTCAGTTGTTGGTGAAAACGTTCGCCGTGCTCATCACTCTCGTCACCAAGATTTTCCGGGAAAAAATCCATGTGAGAATGTAGGAAATGTATCTTCAAAGACATTCACACCTGTGTTCAGTGAAATAAAAGGATTTGAAATTAATTATATGTAACAAACACAATATTTTTGATTTATACCTATTTTCTCATAATTTTTGAGCAATTCATCGACGACTTCCTCATAATCTGAAATTTCCTAAAAAGGTTGTGACAACACGCTGGAACGATTTCCACGCTTTTTCCTCATCTGGTGTCAAAACTGTATTCAATGCGGAATCATTGAGCAGTTTTTTCATCTGTGGGCCAACAAATACACCTTCCTTTATCTTTGCATCAGAAAAATTTGGAAATACTGATTTCAAGTACTGGAATGCCGGCCCTTCTTTTTGCAACGCTTTGACGAAGTTTTTGAATAGCCCAAGTTTTATATGTAGTGGTGGAAGTATTATGCGTTCTTTTACCACAAGAGGATCATTTTTAACGTTGTCTTTACCAATTGTGAAATTATCCCGTTTTGGCCAATCTTTTCGGACGTAGTGTTCCTTACGAGCTCGACTGTCCCATTTACACAAAAAACACATATATTTTGTGTATCCCTGTTGCAATCCAGTCAACATGGCAACCACTTTAAGATCGGAACAAATTTTCCAATTGTGTTGATTGTAATTTATCAAATTTAGCAATAGGGCCATTGATTCATACGTTTCCTTCATATTAACGGCATGAGCTAATGGAATAGAAGGTTTCTCATTCCCTTGATGCAGTAAAACGGCTTTCAAGCTCAACTTACTGCTATCGATGAATAAACGCCTCTCAGCTGGATCATATGGCTCACCAAACTCTTCAAACAAGCCGTTTACGTCATGGCAAAAACATGCCTTGTCCTTTGTAGAATAATATTTGTCAAATTTCTTGTGACGATTCCTGTGACAAGAAATTTTGACCTCCTTGCTCAGCATGTTGTGTTCTTTCAAGCGTGATGCCAGCAATTCGGATTTCTCCTTCGATAAGTCGAGATTTCGCACCAAATCATTAAATTCGGATTGTGTAAACAGTTTTGGGTTTCTTTAGAATTCCACCTCGAAGTCTTCCTCGCATTCCTCCTTGAATTCCTCCTCACTTTTTGTAACGGTCGATTCAACAGAGGGCGCTCGTTTCCGCTTTGGATAAACTGGATACGGGACCGAACTTGAATGTGGAACAGGTTTTGTCATAGAAGCCACTTGTGGATACTCAACTGTTTTGTGACGTCCTTGTTGCTTAACTTTTGTCAAGCAGAAATAACAATCCGTTGCATGACAAAACGGTCCACGCCATATGGTGGGCATGTCAAAGGACAAATAGCGACTGACAGATAACAAATAAGTGAGTTAGTAAGTAAGACATTAACACTTATCAAAAATAGATGAAGTAAGATAATGTCGATCAGGAAAGAACAAAGCACTACCATGCTGTACATAAATTGTTTATATGAAAGTTATTCAAAAAATCAATTTACCTTGCGCCTGACATCCACCTAGCCAAGCACGTTTTGCACGAACTACATAATACTTTTGGAATCCACGGTTCGTCAAAGTCTCCAGGATCAATTTTAAAATAAAGCCTTTATGCAATTTGCAACGAATCAGTGAAATTGACCGATTTTGTAAATATATAGTTGCCACACGCGTAACAAAACTTTTGAGGATCATTTTTACACTTGAATTCACGTTTTGTCGTATACATCGTTAAGCAATGTTAAAGAAGGAAAGCTGTCAAATTGAGTTGGTTGCGTTAGGTTCTCGCCGAGCGGTCTCACAAACACTAGCGTAAATTATATTGTTGAAAATATCCCATTTAATTTTGCGTGACAGCTGGTAGTGTTAGTGAAATGGACCGTATGCGTACACGTCCGCAGAAAGGCTTACTGGAAGTGGTGCATGAACCTAGGAGCGGGACAACGGCCAATCTTGGAACATTCAATTTCCATGATTGTACAAAAAATTTCATAACTTCGACAATTTCCAACCGATTTCATCCATTAAAGGCTCATTTTCTCCAGTTTTTAATGGACTTTAAGAATAAATTATGGAATGATTTTTTGAATCTTTTTATCTCATTAAAAATGTTGATTAAAACAAGATTTGTATGGAAAATTCGCAGGAAAAATAAAAAAAATATGCTGTAAATTTTTAAATGACTTCAAAATTAAATTTTTAATTAAGACATAATATTGTAGTGAACGATAGCAAATTTATTTAGCTTCATTTTCATAAAAAAAAAGATTTAAAATTGGTGCACTAGTTCCAAAGATATTGACATTTTAGTAATCGTACTTTTGTCCAAAATTCAAAAAATCAAATTTTTTGTATATCTCAAAAATGGCTCTACTTAAATTTTTTCTGACCACGGCATTGAATTCAGCGTAAGATTTTGCATTAGAAACGTTGGTCAACCACTAAAGTTCACACTTTTTATGTTGTTTTGTAAACTAGTGATTATTTGATTAGGCTTCCGATTTGCCAAATGCGAACTGTTGGGCTTTACGTTACACACCTTCCGACAGATTTTGTACCGCTGTTGTATCAACATTATTTGATGCTGAACGTCAATTTGCTTTGAACTATTTCTCATTTCCAACTGTTTTCTGAGTTTTCTTGAGGTTCCGCTTAACGATTGCCCAATATTTTCCAATTGAGTGCAGCTCCGGCGAGGGTTGGAGGGTTTTTGTCCTTGCGTACGACTTGCACGTTGTAGGCAGTATACCGTTCCTGAGCCATTTTCCCGTAGTTACAGCAAGCGAGGTAAAACAGCACGGAACAACTGTTTTTCTTCAAAAAAGGCAACAATCGTTTTTGCAAACATTTTTTTTCTTAAATATCTTGGTTGACAATGCCAGCTGTCACGAAAATTTCGCTTTTCAGTCCACAAATCGCCAAATTTGATTTGACCTATTTTTTACCGTTCCATCCTTTATGTTGCTTTCATATATAGCGCTTCTTGGAAGACAGCATAGAATATCCACTATCCACTCTTGGAGTAAAAAAGATTCAATTGAGACACAGAGTCGGCGACACAAGTGATGCTGATCGCGGTAATCTTCCCCTTAATAAAGCAAACAGCGGCCTGTTAGAAAATCATAAATTTATTTTTAAGCATCACACTCGAAAACTGCCAGTTGTTCGCATCGGTATGACACATGAATGATGATCTTCGGTGGTTGCATTGCATTTTGAAATGTTAAATTGGACTTGACAATATCAACGCCAGTCTGATGATTTAATATCTACCTACGTTTGGTGACAATGCTGTAAACATTTGCTTGAAAAAAAAAGATTTTGCATTGAGCAGTTCCAGGTCAAATGACGCATCGGAAAAACTCGACCATCTCCGCAAATGCTAGCTCATTAAGCTGGTAGCTATTCCGAACCTCTGCAGTTTTCTTCCTCTACGTTGTTTCACAACATTCTTCGAAAGGAACAGCTAACCGTCCTGTCACACTTTTCGCATTTTCAGAAGTAGACGGAAGCAAGTTTAAAACGTTTTCCGGAAGCGTGAACGGCTTACTGAAATACTCGGCGTGACACTTGACAACCATGTATGAGCATGTTTGATCCAGAGCTTTTGAAAAAAGTCGCACATCGTTTTCACGGGTTTTCCGACATGTGCAGCCACATCCGGCATAATATTCACATTTATGGCACTGGAGTACCTTCTCATAAACGCAGTTGAATTTTGATGATCGGCCTCCACTTGTTTTTGACCAGTGTGACAAGAGATCACGCTTAACAATTTCAACTTAAATTGAATCAAGATAAAAAAAAAAATCATTAGCACTTGT